AGACGCAGCGGATACAGATTCAGCTTCTATTCAGCTCGTTACAGCAGGCGCCGGGGAGGGGGCAGGGAGCTGCGGGGCGCGTGAGGGGTACCAGTGGGGGGCCCCAGGTGGCAGGGGAAGGTCGGGAGTGAGGGACACCAGTGGGGTTCCTGGGGGCGGCTGCTGGTTGGAGGGAGGGCATGCAGGGCAGGAGTGAGGGGCACCAGTGGGCCCACAGGTGGGGCTGTGGGTCAGGAGGGAGGGGCACCAGTGGGACCCCACGTGGGGTGTGTGGGGTGGCAGTGAGGGGCACCAATGGGGGGCTGTGGTCAGGAGTGGGGGCACGGGTAAGACTGGGGGCATGACCCCAGGCTGGTCTCGCAGTCGATGGAGCGGAGGTGGGGGCTGCAGATGGCCCCGCCGCAGCGTGCAGGGAGCCTGCGCCCATCACTGACACAGGCGGGGCCCAGCCCCGGGTCACCGCTGGCCATAGCAGGCCCAGAGCCGGCGCAGCTGGTCCCAGAAGAGGAGGCTCAGCACTGTGTGGGGCCCCATGCGGAAGTAGCAGGCCCCGAGGCCCTTGTAGAGGCCCAGGATGCCCTCAGCGCGCATGGTGCGGGCGAAACAGTCAGCCACGCCCCGGTACAGTAGCCCCTGTGGGGACAACAGCATAAGGTGGCCCATGGCGCTGGGTGTGAGGGGCACCCGCGGTGGGGCCCTGCAGGTCGGGAGTGAGGGGCACCGGTAGGGGTCAGGAGTGATGAGCACCCACTGGGCTAGGGGCTGCAGGTTGGGAGTAAGCGGCACCCGCTGTGGGGAGATGCTGTGGGTCGGGAGTGAGGAGCACCCGCTGGGCCCAGAGCTGCTGGGGATGGGGGAGACCGATTGGGCCTAGTGAGGGTTGCAGGTCAGGAGTGAGGGGCACCGCTCCCGCCCTGCTCACCTCTCCGCGCGGCCCGACGGGCTGGTTGTAGAGCCGGGTGCTGACCACGTCGAAGGGCGTCATGGCCACGGCCACAGCCACGCTGCTGCTCATGCCGGCCACCAGTGCCACCCGCCAGCCACCCGCTGGGAAGACCTGGGGCGGGGGAAGGGGGTGGAAATCAGTTTTGGGGAGGGGCCAGGGAACCTTCACCCTTCCCTGCCCTCTGCCCGGTGCTCACCGCGAGCTGGTCGACAATATCCTTGGCAGATGAGAAGGTGCTGAGCTGTGTGGCTGAACCCACGGCCACACGTGGCACCGCTGAGCCTGCCCCACGCCACAGTCCAGCCACACCCTGTGCCCGCCAGATCTGCCTCAGCGCCTGCACCATGCCCTGGGGTTGGCACGGGACAGGGGTCAAGGGGCAGTCCAGGCGCGCCCCACCCCACCAGCTCAGGAGATCCAGTCATTTGGCCCTGAGCTATCAGGTGCTGGGATTTGGGGGTGGGCTCAGGGGCCATGATGGGGGAGGGGAGGGGAGGGGAGGGGGGGGGCTGGCCCGGCCCCC